AATAAAAAAATATAGATTAGCGGATACTAATACTATTTTAACAGGAGAACTTTTTGCAATATATAAAGGCATATGTCATGTTACAAAATGTCCTGACATTAACTTCTTAATAATTACTGACTCACTAAGTTCTCTAGAAATCATCTCAAAAATCTATTCTTCCCATCCTGTGGCCAAACTCATTAGACAATAATTGCACAACCTCAATCACAGAAACATTGCTTTCCTGTGGGTGCCATCTCATATTGGAATCACGGGAAACGAGCTGGCGGATAAATATGCACGAGAAGCCTTAGAGGACACAACTATTGAGTTCTATTCAAAAACTCCAGCGACAGACCTCAAATCATATTTCCACAACAAAATATTCAACATATGGAATAGCAGATGGCATAAAAAAAGAGGCAAAATTACTTAAGATAAAACCAATATTTCAACCATGGTTTGATAGTTCCACCAATCGTTTTACTCAGGTTGTCATCACACGACTTCGGCTTGGTTATAGTCGCCTTACACATGGACATCTGATGACAAGGGATCCCCAACCAGAGTGCTATGCTTGCGAGACCCCTCTAACAGTAAAACACCTTTTAGTGGAGTGTCCGTTATACAGTGCGGAAAGATATAAATTCGGAATCCCGGAGAATTTGAGAGAACTATTCTTAAAGTGCGGTGCCAAAGTGATTATACAATATCTGAAAGCAATAAACGATTTATACAAAATTTAGTTGTAACGCTATTCAATGTATTGTTAAAACTTTTTCTTTTTTTGTTAATAGACTTACAGGCTGATGCGAGTTTGTAAATAACAAACAAAATATCTAATATGGGTTTTATTTTAAATGGAACACCATGGATATTAATTATTCGTTATGATTGAGCTAAGAACTTTAACTTTTCTTAACATAGGTTTTCTTTTCCAAAATTAATGTCCCAACTGATATTTACAACTTTTTATTTTACCAAACAAATCTACAATACTATGTTATTTCCGCCATTATAACAACTTCTCTCTACAACCTTACTTCTCTTGTACATTGCCACTTGGGTGAGTCCATTCGTCTTACAGTAATACTAAAAAAAGTTTCCTCTTTTGAACGGTATAAAGATGTCCTATACTTAAGTCTCCTAGTTTTTGAGTAAAAGATATAGTTAGTTAATGTCATTGTATGACATTGTCATTTTCTGACATTACGGTCTGGTAATTGTCAAAATATAAACATTCGTGTGTAATATTTAACTTTCATTGTTCCTAAAAATGAAGAATTACGCTATCCATGAAAGAGTTGACATGGTACTTTGCATTAGAGAATGTTTGGAAAATTGTCTCTTAGCTTCTAAAGTTTATGCTCAAAAGTATCATGATAGCAACCACCCACACCAGGAAGTTTTTGAGAGATTGCTTAATAGATTCCGTGCTACTGGTAATGTTTCATACGAAAAGGTAAAAAAATAAACCAGTTATTGGTGACAGCGCAGCGTTAACGAACCTAATGTCCTGCTTTCTGTTACGGAAAACCCAAATATTAGTACAAGAAAAATTTTGGGTGAATTAGAAATTAGTCAAAGTAGTGTATGTAGAATACTTAAGATCAACCACTTTCATCCGTATCACATTCAACTTCACCAGTATTTGACAGAACAAGATTATGGTAACCGTTTAAATTTTTGTTTATGGACTTTAGATAAAATTGGAGAAGATCCTGATTTTTTTAGAAATGTATTATTTACAGACGAATCGACTTTTCATAATAGTGGTCTAGTAAATAGACATAATTTTCATTAATTTGATACAGAAAATAAACATTTATTTCGTACTGTTGATCGCCAACACCGATGGAGTGTTAATGTTTGGGGCGGCATTATGGGCAACTATGTTATCGGCCCGTATTTTTATGACGGACATCTCTCAATGGGACACATTTACTAAATTTTGAAAACAAGATTTTTGGACACTGCTTGAGAACCTTCCACTTAGTCTACGAACAAAAATGTGGCTCCAGTTGGGCGGAGCTCCTGCTCATTTCTCACGTAATGTTAGGAACTACCTTAACAGAAAATTTACAAATAGATGGATAGGTAGAGGTGGTTCATATAATTGGCACCCATGGTCACCAGGATTAACCAAGATGAATTTTTTTAAGTGGTATTATATTAAAAATATTGTATATGCTACACCTCCTACTACTAGAGATGACATGAAATTAAGAATTACAAACGCGTTTGCTTCAATAACTCCTGCTATGTTAAATAATGTAAGTAAATTATTCGAAGATAGAATCGTTTGTTGTATTGCACAAGATGGCATGCAATTTGAACATCTGTTACATATCTGAACATTTTTTAGTTATACTAAGCTTTGGATTATTTTGTATTATTTATGTTCATTTTCATTTTGTATTATTTTGTATAATTTGTTTTATTAAAATTCTTTCTGTTTCGTTATGTATTTAATTGTTTAAAAAAAAGAGTGTGTGCTCGTAAGCACGTAAGATGTTATAGGTACATCTTATTATTATTATTATGAATTCCACACAATACATATATTTTACAGTTTTATTTTTATTTAAATATTAAACTTATTTTAATGCTTAAAATAATACAAAAAATTAAACATAACGTTAATATCTACGTCATTTTTGAAAACTGTAACCTTTGCGCAGTTGACTTTCACTTGATGAATCGTAGAAAATCTAAAAAACATTAGATTTTCAACAAATTTTTTAATTGTCTTTTGATGATATTTTAATACTATGTATTTTCAACGAATACAAATTCAAAGACATAAAAATTTTATTTTTTTACAAAAAATGTATTTACAACTACACTGGTTTCGTTTATAACAATATGTCAATATAATGGGTTTAAAAATCGAAAGTAACAATAATAATAAATACTTGAAATCAACTTCCGTTAATAAAATTTTAAATTACGGCAAAACTATCAGTCTTAGTTATAGGACATTCGTATATCATTCGAAAGAGAAAATTTTTGTTAATTTATTAATTTATTAATATACCATGTTGTGTTCCGTTTAAAATAAGCCTTATATTACACATTAAATAATCCAATAATGAAACTACAAATTTTGAACACCCTGAAAATAAATGTTTTATAATTAATCATGAAATACATTCGACCAATATCCAGCTATTTAGATGTATGAGTAATTTTATTAGAATTGATTAAATAAATTAAGAATGAGTCCACGTTTAAAGTTTTACATTTTAAGAAAATTTAATATAACTCAGAACACTCTGTACATAGGTATAGGGAAGTCTTATGAAACTATACCTTATTTTTTCCATAAAAAAATATAACTTTGAAACGTCGCGGTCTATTGTGACATCCTGTATATTTTAGAATAATTTTAAAATGTAGTCTTTATCAACCTACATACTATAGATTTAAAATTTTTTCAAAATCTTTTACCGTTTCGCTGTAATCTTCCGTCCAGTTAGTGGTGACTCACCCTGTATATAATATATTTATGTAGAATAGGTCCTGCACGTAACAAGTGTTAACTTACTTAGGTGCAAAGTTATATAAACAGTATAATTAGGGTGACCATAATTTTTTAACAAAAAAAAAGTACATTTATAATTTTTAAGAAAATATGTACACTGCTAGTGCCCTAGAAAATTTTTCTGGTCAAAATTTTACAAATCTTTAATGAAACAATGATAAGAACGATTTTTTTAATCAAACATAAGTACATAAAAAATGTATGATACATTTTAATAGTTAGTTTTCTTTCGACGTTCCTTTCTGAACATCTTGATCATCATTTTCGTACCAGTCGTACTTTTTGGAACTATGGATTTCCTTTAGAAGTTGTGGTTTACTCTTTAAGAACTGAAACATTTCATTACACGAAACTTTGAAGTTTGTGTAGACTTGCATGATGGCTTCCAGAGTAGATATTTTCAACTGCGATTTGTTGGGACTGCAATTGTTACTGATATTTGAGAACAAACGCTCAATCGACGCACTGGTCCCGACAGACAAAAAACAAACTCACATAGAATTTTGAGATTTTTCAAAGCAATTTCTTTTTGGAAGATTTCGAGCCATCGATCTTCGGTAGAAATATTTTTTAAATTCCAGTCTGTAATTTTATTTTGTGTAACGTAGGTTCGTATTAGACTAACCTTATCACTTCATCAAACAGTTCGTCCTGATTCAATATCGGACCTACGTAGTCTTTTAAAGCCTCACATGACGATAAAATTTCAGCCCAAGAAACTTGTTTTTTTCAAGTTAACTCATCCAAATAGCTTTAGTTCACTTAAATTTTCACTCCAGTTTTTCAAATATGTTACACAATTTGAATAGAACTGCTTGACATGCGTGATAAAGATATCCTGATAGCTCACACTAAGGTCAAGGTCTTGGTCTCTCACCATATTTTTAAGTTTTGAAAGGGACTCTCTTACTTTAAGCGGTAAAAATAACTTATTTAAGCGATTTTGAAGCTTATTTATAAGTTTGAAATACTCCAAAGCGGCTTCCATTGCGCTTATTTTGTCACCTTCTACATCTAAAATAACTTTGTGGAAGAGAGACGCAATGTTATGCACAAACCACATCCATATTAATAAACGTCAATAAACGTATTTTTATGTGGTTTATTCCCAGTTAAATAGTAAGTAAACCACATCCATGCTTCACTGATTGGGTTTTGAAAAAAACTGATTTAGAACGGTTGGACAATTATCAATCGACAAAAAATATGCTTTCAAGGGTTCGAACATTTGTATAATTGGTTCAGTGACTGGCATTAGGCTCAAAAATATTGTTTTTGAAAACGACAACATTTTTTGTACTCGATATCAACAAAATCGCAAAACTGTTTTAATTTCTCCACTCTGTAAAAATATAGAAATACTTAAAAATCTTGACCGCAGTAACCTCGATGTCTATAGGTAAGACGACCGTCGCATTTTGTAAACAGTTATTAAAAATGTGTGCCACACAACCAATTCCAATCACGGGTTTACCACGAGAAGCATTTAATTTGCTGAATAGGTTATTCACTCCTTTTTTTCTCATTCCACCAAAATTTGTATTTGTATTTTCATCAGACATTCGGATGAATTTTTGTAGTAAATTATGGTGGTTCAAAACATTGACCACGTAATCTTTTAACTGCTCTGATGTTTCACCAGGTAAGTCACGTAGCTGAAATAATTTTAATTGGACACCATTTTCTCCATCAAAATATCTTACAATTAAGGATACAACATTAATTTCTCTATGATTCGACGAATCGATTGTGATGCTGACGAAATTTGCTTTTCGAAAGTCAATTTCTAATTGGGATTGAGCCTCTTGAGCTAAAACATTTTTAACAATCGTCTCAGTCTTGGTTCGATCTACCGCAAATTTAGGTTCAAACATGCTTACAATTAGTTTTGACGTGCAGTCTAAGGATCTGAAACTTTGCAAATGCTTAATTTTATGGTAAGCAAAAGTACCTTCCTTGGCAGCAATCAACATATTTTCAGAGCTTAAATTATTTTCTTTTTTACCAAAGGTTTCCAATTTAATGCTCTTCGAGTTCGCATTAGTAGCCAACACGTGTTTCTTTTTTGACAAATGTTGTTTGATATTACTGCGACCACTGTTAGAAATATCAAAATCACTTTTACAAACTTGGCAAAACACAATATGCGGTGAAACATTTGATTTTTGTTTCATAAAAGGATACTCTGCATGCAACTCGACATTAAAATGGCATTTTCTTCTAGGCGGTAACTTTGGACAAAAAGTAGGACTTAATTTTGTATGCTTAAGAAAAAGAGTACATTTAGGTGTACTTCATAAATTTTAAAGTACAATAGGACAGCGTTTGAAAAGAAAGTACTGTCCTACTAAAAAAAGTACATATGGTCACCCTAAGTATAATACATATAAATATATATTACCTATAGCAGCGGTTCTCAATCTTTTTTGGTGACGGAACCCTTTTTGAAAGCGAAATACTTGACAGAACCTTACAATAAAACAGTAGTTTTTAAAAGTATTAAGAAGCAGAATAAAAGTAAAATGTAACTGTTACTTATTACTTACTTACATAACAAGTATAATAATAGAAGATATTAAATAAGAAAATAAGATAACTTATGGGAGGTATGAAACTGTTTTTTATTTTTCATCAATTGGTTGATATCAGGTTTGTTGGGAAAGGGAGGACAAATATGTCGTTGAGAAAGGAAGAAGAATCATTTTCAGAGCCATTTTGGCAAGCATTGGATATTCATCACTGATTCTGCACCAAAAATCGTTGAGAGGCGTCGTTTTAAAGTGAATCCATACAAGTGTCTGATGACATTTCTAAAAGAGATTCGTATATCGTTTGACATACTTTCGGGCTTTTGTAAGTTGGGTAAAAAAAGGATTATGAATCCATGAATTTAGTTTCATTTTTCTTTTCAATTCTTCAAATACATCATCTTGGAACATTTCGTCGTTATCGCTAACAAACTCACTGACTGACGTAAAGCTTTCTATTTCTATTTTTCCGACGCAAATAATCCAAAAATCATAAAAGACAGTCGGAACAACCAAGTTTTATCATACAAACGGACTTTCAAATTAAAAGAAGTATCTGAAAGTAACATTTGTAACTCCGTCCTAAGTTCAAATACCCTTGTTAAAGTTTGACCCCGAGACAGCCATCGCACTTCTATATGGAGCAGCAGTGTTTTATGTTTACTGCCATAATCTTCACACAATAATGAGAATAATCTAGATGTAGTGGTCGTGATTTGATAAAATTAATTATTTTTACCGCTTCATCCATAACTAATTTTAGATTTGACGACGGCATTTGCTTCATCGAAAGTGCTTGTCTATGCAGGGTACAATGGCTGGAACCACGGTTCATAGACAGCTGGAACTACAATTAGGAGCTTTATTTTTTATTCGTGACACTAGTCCTGCTGTATTACCTGTCATCCCCTTGGCCTTATCTGTAAAAATGTCAATGGAATCATTCCAACTCAGATTATTTTCATCAAAAAATATATTTATTTGTAGCGGCTGTGAACACATAAGCATGTCTTCTTCAAAGGAACTTTCATATGGATATCTCACGATAACCAGCAAGATAGCTAGACCAGCGACATCAGTAGACTCATCTCTTTGCAAGGCGAATCGTGTTTTTTGTAGACGTGTAACTAGTTCTTGTTTGGCTTAGCTTGTCAGATCATGCATTCGCCGTAAAACAGTATCGTTCGATAGCGGCGCAGTAGAAAGATGCTTTGAAGATTTTTCATCGAACATACATTTTGTTATGTTTAACACACATGGTTTTATTAAATTCTTAGCGATAGTGTGCGCTTCACCTGCTTGTGCAGTGCGATAGCTAACTAAATATGATGCCTCTGTGGCCTTTTCATTGATAGTTTGAGTTACATACATAATAGTTTTTTGACTTTCTAATAACTGTTCTTTTTTACGAAGAAAAAATTCTTTATTCTTACGTTTAGACTCGGGGTGTACAGTTTCTAAATGTCGACGCAACATGGAACTATTAGGAAACAGTTTACTACATAAGATGCAGAGAGGTGAACCGTTGGAATCAACAAATCCGAAACTGATATATGATTCATCATACTTCCATTTTTTCGCCTTTTAAACCGTAGAACTTCACGTCGTTGCATAATCGTCTTGATCGGTAATTGCTGTATACTCTGCGCGTACTGCTTTCGAACATTACCCTTCTGTAGAAGATGTTGTTGCATCACGTTTAACGACTTTAAGACAACGTTCCATTAAGCGTGCTACGCTGCATCAGAAGAGTCGACCAGAGAGACGTGTTTTGATTTTTTTTTGTAAATTCTCGCGGAACCACTACAGGGGTATCGCGGAACCCTAGGGTTCCGCGGAACACACTTTGAGTATCGCTGACCTATAGCATTATTCTTCAGTAAATATAACAATTTCACTTATAATATCAGTATTATTATCAATAATAGTGAACTGTAAATGACTAATTAACTGATTCATTGTTTACTTATTATTTACTGGTAATCTAATGCATTGTAGTTTTTGATTTATTTATTGATTCTAACTTAACTGTACTTAAATTAAATTATTTAAATCTGAATTTATTTTAAAAATGAGTATTATAATTACCAGTTAATTGATCTACACTTTCTTGTATCTTTTTTAAATCAACAAAAACTTTATCTGCAGTAGTTTTTCGGTTGTAAACTTAAAAACATTGAAAATTATATCTCGTGCTTGAGATCCCAAGGGGTTGCCCGTTAATACACTTGCCATTTTAATAAAAATAAATAATAGTTTATAATATAGGGCCACTCAAAATAAAAATGTAAATGCTTGACAACACTGTAAGAAATCTAGCAATAATCCTACGATGTGAACTCTTCGCCGACAGCAAGAGAAATAAGCAATCCCTTCCACTTTTCAATTTGTTCTACGCGCAACCCGCCAGCTGTCAGTTGTCGGGTTATACTATATTTTATTTTATACTCTGAAGGAGGGAGATACTTCCCGCTGATTTCTCAAAATTGTCCGGGAATAATAATTTCATATCTGGACCTCTATGGAACACCTACATCACAAAAAATCAAACCTGGAACCAGTTGTAACTCCGACTAGATATTAACTTAAACCTTCTTAAGAAAAATTATCTAAAAAAAAACAAACTCAAAATGTTCTTCCCCTGACTTTTGCTTGACTCCCAAAGGTAGGCTAAAACAACATTTGTTTTGGAATTCGTTCTTACTCTTGATACTGAGTAGGGAAAAACACAATATTTATGAAACTTGAAATGTTTTAATTTATGAAGTGTGAAAGCAAAAAAAAACTTAATGGTTTTGTAAATAATGTAACCTTCGTATGGTTTGACAATATTTTAAGTAAAATGGATTAGTTATATCGACAATTTTAACGAAAAGCATGATATGGATAATAATATATTTTATAATATAAAGAACGGTATAGGACAGAATATTTTTATAGATACTCTTAATATATAACAGATTGTTTTAAAGATAGATAATTATGTTTTTAAGGCCGGGAAGTAAAATTAAAATATATATGATTTTAAATAAATAACACTTTCGATTTAGATGTTGAATATTTCTTAATGACATGATGTGAAACATTTCAGATAAATATATCGAATCAATTGAAATATGACAATACTATAGGATGTCGAAATGGCTGATGGTTTTTATATTTTTGTTTTATTGATAATTGGATACACTTACTGGCTCAGAGTGGCCATAAACCAACAGGATACTTAGAAAAAACCAAACCAAAACCTTTTAGGCCTTCTCTGGCCCGTACCTTTAAACCCAAGTGTCTCTACAGAACGTCGAAGCAGAAATGGGCAATGGGCACTTGTTTCGAGTTAGCTAAACTATGATTGCAAACATGGACGCTTGGTGTCGCTGTTTAATACCAACTTAAAATTTAAGGATTAAGAAAATCATTAAGAGGACTCGAATTTGAAAATTTTATTTAAAAATGTTTAAGGATTATTGAAGTGACAGACTCGTTACAAGTGCATGAAAGTAAATTGGTCTAATCATTATTCCAATAAAAAGGATCTACCGTTAGTATGACATCTAAACTAAAATTATTTCAGTTTAGATATTCAGATAGATGCAAGATTTAGTGTGAAAGTTAATTCGAAAATAACAAAAATTTTTAAGCAAACGCTGCTACAAATACATAAAATGAAGTCTATGAACCCAAATGTGTTCCATCAGACATTTGGGTTGGATTTCGGTAAAATGTAAGCATCAAAGAGGTGTGCCGGGTTTCTTTAATATTACACTATTTTATTACTTTATTAGGTACTACAATTGTAATAAAAAAGTATACTATTTTTATTATAAATGAGAATAAATTGGCAGAACGATAGTTAAGAAACCAGAAAAAGAATCTAATACTTCACTTTGTTAGTTTTAAATATTTATTTGTTTTGAGTGGATGTACTCTTAACAGTTCCGAAAGTAACAGGTATAACATATGGGCTATTGATAGTTAAAGTATTGAGTTGTTACGTATATTAAAAAGTAACGAAAATTTACATATAGTTTTATATATCGCCGACTGATTTTAGTTTTAAAAACCGTCCGGTGATGAGAGGTGTCCGTTAAGAGACAGTTTAGTGTAGTGTATATGTTTATTGAAACCAAAAATGCCGAGACGTGTTTTAGATGTAGACAACTTTATATTTAATGTACTTTCTTATTTTGCTACTGAGAACACCAACGGGACCCTTAGCGACCAGTTCAGTCAGTACATAAACGTGTGTGTAATGTACTCTGTATTAGTGAAACAGAACTAAAGTCGGTTTTGTTAAAAGCAAAAAAAAGTGGACGAAGTGAACAAAATGTCGCACAATATAAATCTCGCCGACAACGACTATAGATCTTCCCGAAGGTTGTAAATTTGAAATCAGTGAGACAATATATAAAGTGCGTGAAAAGAACGAAAATTAGGAGAATAAGAGAATAAGTAAGTTTTTTTGTTAATACTTGACTTTTTGACGTGACGTTTTAATTGATTATGTGACTAAATAAATGCCACTATTTAATCATTTAAGTATTGTTACACTTCGTTTAAATCTCTTACTTCAAAAACCAACTTGTTTACAATACTAAACTCAATGATAGTAATTATATAGTTCAAAATCTGAATTACAACTATCTCTA